AGCTAGAAATTAAGTAACCGGGGGTTGATCCGGCGGAAACCCTCGATATAGTTGTACATTTGTACGGATCGTAGAGATAGTAGAGAGAATAAACTCGAGATTGATTGTGAATAATTAGAACGTACCTTTACAAATGAGTAAAACACCTATTTATATCTCGGTGATTGGGTTGGGCTTACTTTGTTGGGCCCAAGCCTTACTTTGAAGGTATTTGGGCTTTCGTGTAATGGGCCCGAATACTTTCGTGTATTGGGCCTAATTATTAAATAAATTGGGGCCCATTGGGTCGGCCCAATTAGGTATATCGTTAAGCCCCCAACTCTCGATTCGAGACGAGGACTTGTGTAGAGTGATCCGGGTCGTGTCGAGAGTTAATTGCGTCGTGGAGTGAATTGTTTCCGTTGGTGGTGAATTAATTCCTTAATTTAAATAAGGGATAATTGTATTTATTTGGCAACCAGGTATATATTTAAGGGTTTTAAATAATATACCAGGGCCAGGTAAATAGACTCCTTCTACGGTGGAAAGAATTAAACGTCATCTCTTGCGTAATAAATATGGGTATGTACTTTTAATTTTAGGTCTTCTTTGTGTTTTCTTCTCTTGAAATTTTTTTTTTTTTGCGGTAGAGTAGAAATTTTTTGTTTCTTGATTATTTCTTCGGGGAAAAAATTTTCTCATGTCGAACTCGGGTAATTCGAAATCTTTGCGAATTAAACTTCGAGATCCGGTTGAATGGGGCAAGAAAACTTTTGGTACGGTAGGTATGGAATTAGACTCATGATGAGATGTAATTTGTATCGATGTGAAGGGACATAGAGTAAAATAAAAATCGTGATTTATTCGAGGATAGCAAAGGAGAATTGTTACAAGCCTATGTGAGGCGAATTTAAATGAATAGCTAATGCGATGGGCCTACATGAGGCGAACGTAATTAACTACTACTAAAGCAAATAAATTGTCTTGATATAAAAAAAAAATCTTCTGAGTGATTGTGCTACACTTGTTCTTCTTCCACGTCTTCCTTGTATGCATTCGTTTTGCTGTGCTGATGGTTGGCTGAATTCCTTTGGCGTCTCTATGTCTGTCAAGTATAATTGAGGAAAAATGAATTTTGTTTAAGCATTTGTATCAAGAACTTAGTAATTGTAGCTAAGGTGATGTGCATTGTCAATTCACGTACCCTGACACGGGGATGGTTTTCTTCCTCGCGCTTCGAGATATGAAATCAATTCGTGAGTTGTTGTGGTTTGTTGTGTGATTGTGCCTGTTAGATGGAATGATTTTGTCACGTTAGTACGAGTAAACGAAGGCATGCGTGTGTTGTAGTCTAGTGGAAGTATTGTTACCCTTGGCGATGTGGTATGGGGTGGCTTCGCTCTTTGGGCCATTGGTTGAGCAATATGCATCCTCTCGTAATTGACTCTTACTCTGTTAGAAGATGGTGAGATGTGAATACGAATTGCTGATGTAAGTAAATTTACTTGCCCCCCAGTTTAGGTGGGACGTTCACGCACCTCGTAATGTAGTAGAAAGTTTCCAAAGCATGTAGAGACGGTTTTGCGAGACGAGTGACGTGGAAGACCGCGGAGCCTGCATGGGTAATGTTTTGTAAGTAATTTTCATATAGGGGGGGCATAGGTGGTTACTTTAGCGGATTTAATTTAGGTAGATGTATACCTTAGGCGTAGAACCGTTTGAGGTTCCCTATATTCCAAGTTCTGGGTATAGGGTGTCCGTCAGTGTTCTCGAGGCGATATGCTCCGGTGTTGACGACTTTGGTGATTTTATACGGTCCTTCCCACTTTGGGTCAAGCTTACCGATGGGGTGAGAGGCTTCAGCTTTTCGGAGGATTAAATCTCCAACTTGAAAGGAGCGAGGGCGGACCTTTGAGTTATATACCTTGGCCATGCGTGATTTATACATCTGTTGCCGGATGTATGCGATCTCACGTAACTCATCTACGAGGTCTAGGCTTCCTTGCATAGCCTCTTCATTAGTTGTTGGGTCATAGTTGGTGATTCGCCAAGATGGTTCTCCGATTTCGACGGGTGCGATAGCCTCTGTTCCGAAAGCTAGATTGAAGGGCGACTTTCCGAGGCACCAATTCTTTACTTTGTCTCCGCAAAATTGGGTCCCATTATCCGAGATGATGGAACGTGGGATTCCGAAGCGGCACACAATGTTTTTCCATAGAAATTGGATGACTTCTTCTCGGATGCGTGCTAAGGGTTCAGCCTCCACCCATTTGGTGAAGTAGTCCACTGCTACAATGAGGTATTTGCGTCCTCCTGTGGCGGGCGGGAATGGTCCAACTAAATCCATCCCCCATTGGGCGAAAGGGATGGGGCTGTCAATTGGTTGCATTAACGCCGCTGGCATGTGAGTGATATTGACATGCTCTTGGCAGGGCTTACACCTCCGGACTAATCTTTTCGCATCTTCATGCATCGTTGGCCAATAGTAGCCCTGCCGCAGTAGTTTGAGAGCTAAGGTTCTCCCGCTCAAGTGATTGCCGCAGATGCCTTCGTGTACTTCTCTGAGTACATAATCCGCTGTGGTCGGGTCGAGGCACTTGAGATAGGGGAATGAGAAACCTCGTTTGTACAGTTCTTCTCCCACTATAGTGAAGCGGGCGGCTCTTGTTTTTATCTTCCGTGCTTCAGTGGGATCCGTTGGAAGTTCCCCCTTCTTGAGATACTTTAGAATTGGAGTGAACCAGCATGGTTCATCCTCCTCGGTGTAGTGTACTTCAGTAGGCGAATTTATCTCCGGCTGAGGTGAGGTGAGGAGCGTCACTTTCCGACTTCCGATGCTGGCCATGGAGCTCCCTAGCCTGGCTAATTTGTCAGCATGGATGTTATTTGATCGAGCTACTTGTCTTATCTCGTAGCTCTCGAACTTAGATAAGAGAGTGTGTGCGAGAGCTAAGTATTTGGCCATGGCGTCTTCTTTGGCCTCGTACACTCCGAGTACTTGGTTAACGATGAGCTGGGAGTCGCTTTGGATTAGGAGCTTGCGCGCTCCGGCTGCTAGGGCGAGGCGGATTCCCGCTATCAATGCTTCGTATTCAGCGACGTTGTTTGAGGCTGTGAATTCAAATCGTTGAGCGTATTCGAACTCATCTCCATCAGGGTTCGTTAGTACGATACCCGCTCCCCCTCCTGTGGCAGTGGAAGATCCATCCACGTTGACAGACCAAGTAGGTAGAGAAGTGCTTTCTTCTACGGAAGTCATTTCGACTAGAAAATCCGCCAATACTTGCGCTTTGATGGACGGGCGGGGTTTGAATTCGACCCCATATTCGCTTAGCTCTATCGCCCATTTTGCTAATCGTCCGGATGTCTCAGGACTCCTTAGTATTTGCTTCAGAGGATAATTGGTGAGAACCACCACTTGATGTGACAGGAAGTAAGGTCGAAGCTTCCGAGCTGCGTTGATGAGGGCGAGAGCGAGTTTCTCCATGTTGGTGTAGCGTTGCTCGGCTCCTTGGAGGGCGCGACTTATGTAGTATATGGGTTGGTGGCCTTTTCCTCCATCTCGGATGAGAACTGCGCTGACGGCATTAGCTGAGGTAGCTAAGTACAGTAGGAGGGTGTCTCCGGGCTGAGGTTTTGTGAGAAGGGGTGGGGATGCTAGGTACGACTTCAGCTCAACGAATGCCTTTTGACATGCTTCATCCCATTCAAATTTCTTTCCTCCCCTTAAAATTTTGAAGAAGTGGAGGGCCTTGTCCGCTGATCGAGAAATGAATCTATTCAAAGATGCCAAACAACCGTTAAGCTGTTGGACTTTCTTGATAGATGTTGGTGGAGGCATGGAGGTAATTGCTTCGATTTTTGCGGGGTTATCTTCGATTCCCCGCTGTGAAATCATGTATCCCAAAAATTTGCCACCTCGAACTCCGAACGAGCATTTGAGGGGGTTGAGTTTCATTTTGTATTTTCGCAGGGTAGCGAAGCATTGATCCAGATCAGTTAGGTGGTCTGAGACCTTGACACTTTTGACGAGCATGTCGTCGATATACACCTCCATATTCTTACCGATCTGATCTGCGAACATGGCGTTCAGTAGACGTTGGTAAGTGGCTCCCGCATTTTTTAATCCGAAAGGCATGACTCGATAGCAGTAGATGCCTTGGTCAGTGACGAAGCTGGCCCTCTCTTGATCTTCTGGTGCGAGCAAGATTTGATTATACCCTTGATAAGCGTCGAGGAAGCTGAGGAGCTCACATCCCGAAGTTGAATCGATGAGTTGGTCGATTCTAGGTAAGGGAAATGGGTCCTTAGGACAAGCTTTGTTGAGGTCTGTGAAATCAACGCATAACCTCCACTTTCCCCCGGGTTTTGGAACGGGTACTACGTTCGACAACCATTCAGGATACTGAACTGGCCGTATATGACCTGCCTCTAGAAGTTTCGCCACTTCTGCCTTAATGCGCTTGTTGCGTTCGGGTCCAAATGTCCGTTTTCTTTGTTTGATCGGCTTCAACCTTTTGTCGACGTTAAGCCGATGTAGAGCTACATGAGGGGGGATGCCCGACAAATCTTGAGCTTTCCAAGCGAACACATCTCCATTGTGCCGCAAGAATTTGACTAATTGATTCTCCATCTCAGGATCTAACTCGGATCCGATGCGTAGGAGTTTGGAGCCATCTCCAGGGGTGAGCTCTATGAGCTTAAGCTCTTCGACAGCTGCTAGCTTGATGCTATCGTCAGGTACACTAATGAGGATTTCTTTATTGTCCTCAATGATCGCATTGACCCACTTCCGTTTGTCGGATTTTTGGGTGTCGTCTCCCCTTCCGGATGGTTTAGGCTTCTTGGAGGGTTCTCGTAGGGCCCTTGCGTAGCACTCTCGGGCGAGACGTCTGTCTCCAAGTATTTCCCCCATTCCATAGGAAGTAAGGAATTTCCACTTCTGATGGTAGGATGAAGGTACGGACTTGAATGTATGGATGGCTGGCCTCCCTAAGATGACGTTGTAGGGAGATGGCTTGTCGACGATGAGGAATTTGATTAGCTTGGTGATTCGACAATGGTCTTCCCCTAAAGAGACGGGCAGCTCTACCTCTCCCATGGATAAAATGCCTTCTCCTGTGAATCCTTTCAGGGGTGTGGAGACGGGATTAAACCGGGCGTTATCTATGCCCAGCTGCTTAAAAGCGTGGAGGTACATGATGTCAGCTGAGCTTCCACCGTCCACTAATATCTTCTTGACCAAGAAGTTGGCCACCGTTGTTGTTACTACCAATGCATCGACATGGTCTTCATCTGGACCTTCGAGGTCGGAGGAGTTGAAGACTATGCTGTGATCAGGTCTTCGTATTTGATATATGCGTGTGGATGGAGAGGCACGTTCTTGATTCATGCGTGCTGATCGAGCGAGGGTGCGTCTTGCATTTTGTGAATCGCCCCCCGCCGGTCCTCCGGAGATAAAGGAGATGATTCCCCGGGTAGGTTGGTTATCATTGTTATCTAGGTCACGTCGATGACCCCCATCTTCTCGTCTTTGTTGTTGATCTCGATTGTTATCTCGGCGTGGAGGATCATCACGGCGTTTATTTCGCGGCTTATCGATGTACTCGCCTAAATGGCCCTGTTTGATCAGCCTCTCAATTGCCGCTTTGAGTTGTGCACATTCCTCTGTAGTATGCCCTTTGTCCTTATGGAATCGATAATAACGATCCGACTTTTCTCGCTTGCGTCGGCGGCATAGGACGTGGAGGCTCCGCTAAACCTCTCTGTTCTATCACGTGAAGGATTTCAGTGAGGCGAGCGTGTAACGGAGTGAACCTATTGTAGGAGGAGGAGGGTTGGTTTTGATGTGGAAGTGGTGGACGTCGGTCATCATGTCTCCTATTGTCCTGACGGTCATCTTCCCTTTTCCTTTTAGGAGGAGCATGGGTAGAGGCTTCCTCTATCCGGACGTACTTTTCAGCTCGATTTAGCAACTCTTCTAGGTTGCCTGGGGGTCTTCCGGCGATAGATTCCTTGAATCTACCCGGTTTCAAGTTCTGCTGCATAATCCCGGAGAGCATGTCTTGCCCCACACTGGGGACTTCATGGACGGCTTCTACTAAACGCTTAATGTAGTTGCGGAGCGTTTCGTTATCTCTCTGCACTACTGAGAAAAGATGAGCTGGGGTCTTGGCATATTGTTTGTTGATGGCAAACTGGTTGGTGAACCGGGTTGACAGCCGAGCGAAGGTGTCAATCGACCCTATGGGTAGAGAATTGAACCAATTCATTGCCCTCTTGGAGAGAGTGGTACGGAACATTTTGCACATCGCAACATCCGTCGGGCCATATAAATCCGCCATGGCACTGAATTTCTCTATATGCTCCTGCGGGTCGGTGGTCCCTTCAAATTGAGGTAACCCCGAGATCTTTACTCCTTGAGGTAATACCTCGTTGAGAATGTCTATGGTGAAGGGACTGCGTCTGGTTGGGAGAGGCATTCTTTCACCCATTTGATTATTTGGTTGGGAGAAAAGGTTTTGGCGAGACATTCGGCTGTTTACCTCGCCTTCTCCCTCATTGAAGAGAGGGACTCTCAGTGGTGATGCGTTGTGCTTCTAGGCTGTGCTTCTCTGTGATTAGTAGATAGCTGCACTCGGGACCGTGGGTCCGAGGTAGAGGAGGAGACACTTATTTGATTCTGAATTGGCGGTGGGGCCATAGGTGACACTATAGGTGGAGCTTGCGCTGGTATCGCATTGGGAGCGTTTGCTCCTATCGTGGCGATATATCGAGACACGGCCTCCGTGGCGGCGCGAGTTGAGGCTTCTGCTATCATGCGTTGGAGCGCGTCTTCGGTTATTTGAACCGTTCGAGGAGCAGGGAGTGGTGGATCGGCGAGTGGTGGGTCCCGAGGAGGGATCACCTGAACCTCGCGAGGTGGATCTGCAGCACGTGGAGGAAGTTGCTCCGCGGCGCGTGGAGGAGGTGGCATGCCAGATCCTCCACGGGCTGGGAGGTTATTAGCTGTGTCGCTTTCTCTCCGAGCTGACGCCTCAGGAGGATCTTGTTGGCTACGTGATCTGGTTTGCATCGTTCCCACAGACGGCGCCAAAATGATGATGCTAAAATATAGCTCACGTAGGGTGATGTAGAAAACGAGCTGGGAGAGCAAAGCGGATCAGTAGCTTAAATAACTTGATGATCCTGAGGTCCCTGCGAAATGAGCACACGTGAACTAAGCGGGGGGTTGATCCGGCGGAAACCCCTCCGACGCTCAAGTCAAATGTACGGATCGTAGAGATAGTAGAGAGAATAAACTCGAGATTGATTGTGAATAATTAGAACGTACCTTTACAAATGAGTAAAACACCTATTTATATCTCGGTGATTGGGTTGGGCTTACTTTGTTGGGCCCAAGCCTTACTTTGAAGGTATTTGGGCTTTCGTGTAATGGGCCCGAATACTTTCGTGTATTGGGCCTAATTATTAAATAAATTGGGGCCCATTGGGTCGGCCCAATTAGGTATATCCGATGTGAAGCAAATTTTACTTAGACTTGTTATTTAATTCTAATACGGTTTGTCATCGGGGACTTATATCTTAAAACCCCTAAGGATAATGATAATAA